TCCCTTGGTGATCTTGGTGGTTGATGCTGACACAAACCCATATGATTCTAGTTTGAGGGTTTAGCAAGTAAGATCTATCCGATGGTACCAAAAAAAGGTCTATGCCAGGTTGCCGTAAGTTGCCCCTTTTTTGTCGATCCGATGCTTGGCCTTTTTTGTCGAGTGATGTACAATGACCCCCATTTTGGCCAAGGTTGCTGGAATGGTATTTATCTTTCACCCATTTTGTATATGTATATATACACACACACACCTGTATATACACATTGATATGGATATTCCACTATACATATGTGTATCATCCCATTATGGTACATATATATATATATATATGTATATATATATATTGATATTATATAACATATATATATATACATACACTGGTTGGTGGTTTGGACCATTTTTTATTTTCCATTTCATATATGGGATGTCATCCTTCCCATTGACGAACTCATATTTGACAAGATGGTTAAAACATGTTAAAACCGCCAACCAGTATTGAATTGTTCAATATTTAATATAACCCCAATTTAATATTTAATATAACCCCAATATAATATACATATATATATATACACATACATATCAATGTCGAATATCTCTTTGTACCTCTGCAGGATCTTCCACTTTCAGGCTGTCCCCCCAGCTTTTCCCCTGAAGGCGGAAAGAGCTGCTCAGTCACTGCGGCGACCACTTCGGAGGCATGGAGATGGCACGGAGATGGCAGCTGACCGGTGGTTTCGCCCATAGCAACTGGTGATTTTCAGCAAGAAAATAACTGGTTGGTGGTTTGGAACCATGGGTTTTTTTTGACTTTCCCATCATATTGGGGGAATTGTTCATCATGGAAAATCCGAATTTACAATCACTTACTGATGCTTTGTAGGGAATGGATGGGAATGGGGGAATGGGATGATTATTACTAGTGATTCTGGATCATTCCCTCATTCCCTGCTAAGCACCAGTAAGCAACTGGTGTTTGAAAAATACAAAAAAGGGATTTTCAGCAAGAAAGAAAAGAAAGCTGAAGAGAATCAATGAAGCAAGAAGACGTGGTGATAGGAACTAGGCTTTCACCAGCACCGGGAGGACATTGATACTTGACACCAAAAAAAATTGGGATATGAGACCAACCATGAGAAGACCAGGAAAACTAAGGAAGTCGCCACCGAGATTTGGGGGATGGTCCTGCACTATCTTGAGTGCCTAACGACGGATGAGAACCCACCGAAAAAAAATAGTTTGTTTTTTTTTCTTTAAAAATAATCACCATTTGAATCCAATGACTTTTTCCGATTCTTGGCACAGAAAAAAAACCGATTTTGAGCATCCCGTAGCCATCCCTGGCCGAAATTTCGGACGTGTCCTCCCTGGCGGCTTAGCTGATCTCCAAGCCATCAGCGTGATCTGCAACTCTTGGGAGATATCATGACTTCAAGCTGCATATTTTCACAGCTCAAAAGTAGCCTCTGGTTATGACTAGCGTAGCCATGGAAAATCATGATTTTTAATAGGTAAATCATCATAATTCATCTATAAATGGCTTATTTTCCATGGCTATGTTAAATAGCCAGAGTGTATCTAGAGTAACAACTCGAAGAATCTTCGGGGAATAGGATTGAAATTGAGATTTGCAACAATTTTGGTCCTTTTTTCCCAAGAGAGATCTTTTTCAAATCTACCAGGCCCGATTTCTACCACCTTTTTTGGTGCCCAGAGGTAAAAGAGTTGGACGTGCAAATGAACCGCTCCAACTTTGCAGCTCGGAAGTTGGTGGTGGGGTGGTGCAAATGAGCTGGTACCAAGAAATTTTCACGCATTTCATGGCGCAGATCCACATTTTATATCATTCTTTGGGATATACCCTCTGGTTATTTAACATAGCCATGGAAAATCACCATTTTTAATAGGTAAATCAACTATAGATGGGCCATTTTCCATGGCTATGTTAAATAGCCAGAGGGTATATATATATACACACAATAATAATATAACTAACCAAATTTATGAAAAACATCCGACATAATAATCAAGCCATTTTTTTATTTGAATGTGATATTAAAAGTTTTTTTTTTTGTGAGAAGCTTTGCCAAAATTGGGAGTTGTTGAGCAACAATGATGGGCATAGAACTATCATAGAAATGGGGATAATTCACTGTAGTAGACATGGGGATTTTTCTCACTTCGTGAAACATCACAATGGTGGGTGGTTTGATTTTTCCACTTATTTGGGAACTGACATCCCCTTTTTTCTCGAAATCTCAACATTTGCCCCAAATTCCTGCTTGAATGCCAATTATTCACTGATTAAACCATATATATATAAATCTATATCTATATCTATATCTATGTCTATATCTATATCTATATTTTGCCAGTGAAATCAGAATCTTTTGGTGCGCTCACCTCTTCCGTTTGGATCTGCATTTTGGAGGTGGATGCTCTGGCCCGAATCGTGCCGAGCGTGGAGGACGGTTTTTTTCGCCGCAATTTTAAAGACAAAGCCATTTATAATGGGGATGACATGGTGAAGATGTGATACAATATGTTTGTGTATATATATATATATACAAATAAATAAATAATAAAAAATATATATAAATAAATAAATATACATATACACATATGGTGGTTGTTAAATGGGGATTGATGCAAAATAACGGGGGACGTACACGGGAAACAACAAGGGATATAGTAAAGCCCACCCCAAACGATAGGCAGGTTGGTTGAGGTAAGTAGCTTAACTAGAATGGATTTATGGTTTACATATCTATAGTTTGCTGAGGGTAAAACAAACCAACAAACATGGCTCGGGTGGCCCTTTTTGCATGGGTGGCTCTTAAAGTTGGGGAACCCCCACAATCTTGGCTTCCAAAAACCACAATGGTAAGCAACTGGGTGGATTTCTCAGGGGATTCTCAGGGTCAGCTTCTGAACATTCTCTGGTTGGACTTGGTTCACCAACCATGTGCCATTCATGACCCCTCCTATGAAGCCAACAAGATGTTTGCTCATAGAAACAACATAAGTCACGTAAGTTCAACATCACAAAATACCCCACGATTTCAACACCATTGTCACGTTGTCCAAGAGATACCCAGGTAAACCATCTGCACATGCTGGGCGAAAAAGGTATGTCTCAACTGAACCCCTCGGCCCAACACACTTCCTGCCTCCGGAGCGAGGTTCTCCGATCGCTTCCGTGAGGGGGTTGGTGGCATTTTTCTACCAGCAAGTTTCAGAAACTATTTCCAAAAAGCAGTTTTTTCTTTTTCTCAAACATTTTTTTTCAACAATGAATGGTTGGAGAAGAACTTCTTCCACCTAAAGTGCGCCCACCCAGCACTGCCGATTCTCATGACAATGCCGTGTGATGAGATGAGGGCAGCCTTTGAGACACTGGGACAAGTGAAGAAGAAGAGACTTTCTTTAGTTGACCATCCAGATTAGCCTTGATGATTCTGATTCATGATGTCTCTTCCTTGCTTCAAATGCAATCTTTGCAAGGTCTTGTGGCGCACACACACACACACTTCATTAAAGAATACCACGAAGTGTTGCGATTCATCCTGGCGTTATTTTCCTTTTTTTGCTGCAGCTGTTTGAGCCACCTACCAGACATTGTCAAACACTGTGGGCGACAGGCAGCGCGACTCCCTGTCCCATTGCTGTAGATCCAGGCCCCAGCTCTCCGTGAGGCCTTCATGTCATGCAGGCTGCCTGCACCATCAATGTGTATCCTGCCGGCTGCCGCGATGGCTATGTGAAGTATGGACGAAATCAAATCGGAGAAATCAGAAAACTGCAGCGCGCCGAGCCTTACCAAGAGATCAAGGAAAAGATCAAGGTGCATGCGCATGTCTCGGCTGAAGAAAAAGCCCAGAGTGTAAAGAGGCACCTGCTAAGGAAGGGAATTTCGAGCACAGTGTCAGTGAGTTTTTCATTCATACCAGTTCCAGAATCTCCATCAGCTTTTGACTTCCAGGAGATCCATGTTCAGGAGGAGGTGCACAAAGAACCAATTGTTTTGGTAGAGCGCTGCATTCACAAGGGCCGCTCCATGATTTTAAAGAAATATCTGCGCAGCAGAATGTCTTGGCATGACTCTCTTTTGGAGCAACAGTTGTATGAAATGAACATGTACTACCAGGACTTGAAAGGTCTTCCCAATGTGGTGCAGCTTGAGGGTCATTTCCAAGACCCTTATGGAAACCTCACCTTTGTTTTTCCAGATCTGGGCGTCAACATTTATCCCAGACACAAGGCTGGCATAGTGAGCTATATGCAGCAGCTCCTGAATGGTTTGAACGCACTTTGGCACAAAGACATTGTGCATTGTAATATCAAAGGAGGAAAAAAACCCAATGCCATTTTTGATTCCGCCGGCAGATTGACAATCATTGATTTTGAGTCGGCAGTCAGGCGTCATGAGCGAATTGGCCATAGAGAAAAAGAGGGAGAGACACTGGAGTACACAGGAAATCTTTGTTACGCAGCACCCGAGGTGTTTGTTGCACAGCATGGGTGGGGCCCTTATGGACCAACAAGGTTTGGGCGTAACCGAGATGTTTACAATGCTGGAGTTGTATTTGTGGAACTTCTACTGGACATCAAATATCATCTATTCCAGTACACTCAGTGGGAAGAGAGTGTGAAGCGTGAGCAAGAAGAGATCATCAGAGTTCGTGAGACGCTAAAGCGTCGCTTGGCCCAAATGAGCCCCGTTGCAGCTCTGCAGGGAGATGGCGACTTTCGAGTTGCAGATTTGGCATTCAACAAGCTCGGATGTGATTTAGCTTCCACGATGCTGACATGGCATCGTCTTGATCGCCCAAGTCCTGAAGCATTGCGATTTAGCATCCGTTTTTTCACATGGAACCCGCGATTTGCAGTAAGATGCAAGTCATGTAAGCTTGCAAGTCTGTCAAGATGTCAGACTTTGACTTACAGATTTTGACCATCTAGGCTAAGTTGATGCAGTCACGCAGTGTGGAGAGAAACTGCAGGTTCTCTTGCCGCCACAGGTGTGCAATGAATGCCTCTGATCAGTGCAGATGTTACCGACTGACCGGCTCCAGGTACAGGAGTTCTATGTGCACCGGACTCCCAGATGGTTGCAATGTCTCGTCAGGAAACGTTTCGCAAGGAATTTTTAGATCGTAGATATGGAGACTTTCCTGGACCACAAATATTGCAGCAATAGGTTTGACCAGCGTTTTCTCAATTCTGAAGACTAGAATTAGAGGAAAATGGTCAGGAAAGCCATATTTGGGTGGTGAAACTGTCATACTTTGGAAAAGAAAGCCGCGTTTCCAAAGTGCGTTGTAGAATTTCGATGATCACTTTCTTGTGCTTCGATTCTTGACCTCTATAGCTTTTTCTTTTAAGAGGGTTAGATTCACTATAGCATCCCCAGAAGAGAAAGAAAAGTAACATCCAATGGCTCAATGGCTGCTATGTACCTGGACAAATGGAGATGCGATGGGAGGATGTGAGGATACTTCATTTTTTGACCCGATGAAGATGGCTTTCTGGACATATGAAATAAATTGAAATATGGATATGGATATTGATATACTGTCATGATTCATGATTCATATTTCCATATTCAATATTGATTGTGGATGATTTATATTGATATGTATATTGATATATATATTATTATATATTAAATATTATTATATGATCTTATATGGAGATAGTGGATATTGATTCATGATCAAGTTCCAAAAACTTCACAACGACTTGGATCCACACCGTCCACACCGACAAGGAGAACATTGCCAATGGCAAGCTGATGCTTACAGCTGTGGCCCAACAGGTGCCGGACCTCAACTGGACCGGTGCGGACCGGTGTTGGATCCTGCTGCAGCACAAATCACCATTTTTAATGGGAAAATCACAATTTTTAATGGGAAAACTCACTCTAAATCACCATTTTCAATAGCTTTTGGTATGTTTACCAGAGGGTAACTTGTGGACTTTCAGAAAAGAAAAGCACCAATCAGTTTTGATGATGTTTTTCATAGATTACTTTCATCTATTTTCCAGCTGTTTCGAAGTAGTGCCCCAAAAAAATTGTGTTTTCAATGATCATTTCTTGGAATCTTGGAAGAAAAAACACACTTTTTCACCACACATGAAGTCTAGTTTGATGATCGAATCTAGGAGTGTTTCATGAATCGAATCATGGATATACCATGCAATTCAGCACCATTTTATTATTGTTATTATTACCATCTGGTTATGACTAACAGTTCGCCATGGGAAAGATTCACCATGCTATTACTGTAATAGGTAAACCATCTATTTCGATAAATGGGCCATCGAAAAACCACGGCTATTCTACCGCCGAGGTCTCGGACTCCTCCAGCGCGGAAGAGGACAGGGTGACCGAGCCCTAAATTAACGGTGGAACACTGGAGCCCAAGCCGTCAAAAGCCATGGAAAATTGATGGTTTAAAGCCATGGTGGTTGATGACCATACAACCCATTTATGGCTTTTTATTGCTTTAAATGGGTTTAATGGATGACCATCTTCTTGATTTTATGGTGGTGACTAATGGTGATCTTTAGAGGGATTTACCCAAGCTGGTGATGACATGACTAACAGGGCTCGCCATGGTTTGGTATAGATGGCCCATTTATCGAAATAGATGGTTTACTGAACTTCATCGCATGGTGAATCTTTCCATGGCGAACTGTTAGTCATAACCAGATGGTAAAGAGAAATTCCATGAAATTCCAAGCGTATTTGTTTGTTGTGTGATATTTTGGATCTCATGATCTATCTTCGGCAAAGTTTGGGTATTCCGCATGTTGGAAACAGTGGGTAGCGCCCAGCATAAGTTGGTGCTTGCATCGACTGGAAGCGGGATGACCATCTTGACCCACGCTTCACATGTATATAACTAGTAGAGATCTTGAGAATATGTTTGTGTTTGTCCACAAAAAACATTTAAGCGGAATTTAGTTTTTTTTTGGTGTTTGGAATTGCAGATGTCTTGATCCCCAACTGCTATCTTTCTGGATTTTAAGTACAGTCCTTGAGCATCCCAACATCCCAATTCGAGGTCCCTCGCATTCAGCCGCTGCTTAGGTGAAGGCCCTGCTTGAAGACATTCTGGGGCAGTGCCTCGAGGTGCAACCGTCAATCGTTGACTTTCTTCCAATCCCTTGAAGTTCGTTTTTAACAGGATATGTCGGATATGTGAATGTTGGAAATTATGGCTCTGGTAATTTGGGGCAATTTGGGGCAATTTGGGGCAATGGAAGTTCCACCATGACAAATTTGTAGATTTATCTCTGCTTTCGCCTCGGGACAACTGAAGAACAACGAGGTAGCCATCCCATGAGTATCGCCATCTCAGATCATCTCATTATATACCGGTCATCACCGGAAATCACCGGTAATCATCAATCGAAAAGCAGTTTTCCAGATAAAATGATGGCCAGGCAGTGGAAAAGGAAGAGTATTGGAACAGATGGGGTCGACACTACGTGTTCGGGACCTGATGTGGTGGACAGTGGTGGACAATGGTGGACCGTTGACCCAGAAGTCACACCCAATTATCTAACACCACCAGTTGGGGCTTCGATAAACCTTCAAAAAATTAGAATCTAGCAGTTGTAACAACCAGTTGTACCACATGAAGTTAGATATCACCAGATTTTTTTGCTGAACTCATACCTGCATTAGGTTCACCAGCAACGATCCAATGGTTCTCGGGTGGGAAGCCACTGGTCAGTTTCTGCCGTAGCTGCGTGTTTTAGTGATCCGGCGAGATTCACCGGTCAGGATCTACCTGCAGGGTCCCTAGTCCATTTTCAGTCAATGATGACATTGATGTCATGACTGGTCTCAGGTTCACCCTGATTTTTCACGCGATGAGAAGGAATGCTTGTGACAATAAACATTGCCAAGAAGCCTGAACTGGTTCTGGTTGGTGGTTTGGAACATGAATTTTACGACTTTCCATTCAGTTGGGAATAATAATCCCAACTGACGAGTTGTCATATTTTTCAGAGGGGTAGGCTCAACCACCAATTAGGCTTGGTGCTTTGACATTTCAACATATTTCGAACTGGGATGATCACCCCCAAAGACAAATTTCAATTTTGTCGGGATGAAGAGCGGAGGCCCTCAGTGATGTTTGCACACAAGCTGCAACAGTTCCCGCCTTAGCCATGGCAACGACTAAGGGTGACGTGGGAGGGGTACGGGGCCATTTGATGCATTGATGCAGAGACCGATAAAGATCGGGAAACGCAGTAGGGGCCAGGGGGTTCTCCCTTTTTGAGAAACACGGATGGAAGGGTCCCCTGTGAACGCACTTGGGCTTCGAAATGGTTCCACGTTTGTAAACAAATGCTATCGCCCGCGCTCCTTTTTTTTGGGGCCGTTTAAAGTTTAGGTGTCTTTGTGTTTGAGCTGAGCGCAGGAAGATTTTTCACGTTTTGACCGATTCTGTGAAAAACCCTGGGGTTTGTTCGATAAATCGCAACTGGTAAGATAGACATACAGCGCTGATGCGTTGCATCTACCGACTCAAAGTATAACCCCCGGTTTTCACCCAAACATGGTGGGTGATCCCCTTCACTCCAAAGATGATACAGATTTATATAGGTTCCCAGATGATTTTCAGGGAAATGGTGTGATCATTCATCACTGATATGTTGAACTGGGTATTTTTACAACTTAAATATTTGGATGTGTAGTGCCATTGGGCCATTGGGGCTCGTCTCCTGCGTCCGGTTCTGTGGCGTGTCTTAATTTTTGGCCCCAAAAAAAAACTCCCCAGCTGTCAGTTTTTACTGGATAGGATGAAGCTGTGGAGGTATTATGGAATCTTGTTGATCTTTGCTACACCAAGGTGCAACAACTTCAAGGATCCAGGTGTTCAGGTCGGGATGGGCGATGGGCCTTGCAGCTCGACAGCTTCTCTGCGAGCTTTGATCTGGATCCTCCATCATTCTTAAACTGTTTCAAGACAAGGTCGTATTCAACGGCATGACCCCGAGAGCAGAGCTTGTTTCTTCGGGCTTTCGAACCTGCAAAACAACTTTCAACAGGGGTTGCATCATGCACGATGTGAATCTAGGTATAGATAGATATGAATAGATATGAATAGATATGAATAGATATGTATAGATATGTATAGATTAAAGATAGATTTCTATACCCCTTCCTTCCCCTTTTTTTGGGTTTTTGAAGCATCGTCGGCACTGGTTCTTACTTTTGGGTATCCCACGATCCAACAGAATCGCCGAGCACCCGAGCACCGCGCCAGTGCTACGGCAGCGAGCTGTTTGCGGATATCAGAGACATTGCGGTGGGGGGCCACAAGAGACTCGGAGCTTGGCTGCGTAGCTTGTGATGGCTACGCCACAAGAAATGGGAGATAGCTGATATAGATTGTAGTGTATAGTTACATGTATGTAATATGCAGCGCATCAATAAATACATAAATAGATAAGTAAACGAATAAATATATAAAGATATACAGTATATATTTTAATATACATATATATATATATATAGATATCTATACACATATGTATACTGTCTACCCAACCAACACAGCAATAGAATACCCAAGATTTGGACTGATGCACGTTTCGACACGTTTCGCCGTTTTTTGGCTGTTTCTGACCGTGCCAGCCGAGGATGCCTGCTTCAATAAGTTGCCGGCACCGTCCGTGACACCTGCCAGGTGCTTTTTGTGATGTTTGGCCGTGGAAGATCTCTATTCAATACGTAACAACATAAATGCCATGGGAGATCCACTAAGCAAAGTTGGGACAGTTGGGGACACAGGAGGTATTCAATTTTGGAATTGAATCTGTCAACATGAGGTAAATCCTGGAGATTATTCCGATAGGAATACAGTAATCATATGATTTGTATTGATTTGTCAATTGTCGCAAGACCGCCAATCCTGGACAAATGTTTGTGGCCTTACTTATTTGGGAGAGGAAAGTCATAAATCTTCTTTTCCCA